GCCTCTTCGGGCCTTCCTGGAGGACCTCTTGGACGCCTCGTGGGCGTTCTTAGAGGCCTTTTGGGCCGTCTGGGGCCATCTTGAGGCTATCTTAGGCCGTCTTGGATGAATCTTGACTCGTCTGGGAGGCATCTTGGAGCCATCTTCGCTGTCTTGGAGGCCATCTTTGCCGTCTTGGATGCATCTTGGAGACCATCTTGGGCCGTCTTGGAGCCGTCTGGAGCAGGGAGAACCTTTGCAACCAGGTTTTGAGATCCTTCCCGGGACCCCGGCGGGACGCGCCGGAGCCCCAGGGGGAGTTCTTCTGGAAAGAGAACCAGAGCCAAAACCGAGGGGGTCCAGCACGCCAGGCACCCCTGCGATGAATCGACAGGGGGCGGCTCAAGATGGCCCAAGATGGCCTCCAAGATGGCCACGTTGGCCCAGGATGACCTCCAAGATGGTCCAAGATGGCTTCCAAGTCCGCCCAAGATGGTCCAAGACGGCCTCCAAGACGGCCCACGAGCTCTGGTGGCGGATCTGGTGGCCTGCGGCCCATGCCGCCGCCGTGGCTGGTGCGTGGGCGCGAGAGGCGGCCTCGGGGGCTGCCTGCCCTCGTGCGGAGGCCTGGCCCGAGGCCGCTCTCTCTCGCTGCCACGGCGGCTGGACATGCGGCGGGGACAGATATCGTTTTGGTTTGGGGGCCGGGCTTCGTGACGCAGATTTGGCTGGCGCTGCAGCCGAGGGCGGATGCACAGAAGGTTGTGCTTGATGGAGTCCTCTTCCCATCAGCTGGGAAGCCGGCAGTTTTCATCGCTCTCGGGGGAGAAAGAAAGAAAAACAACAATTCACTTCCACGACGGCTGGAGGAAGATCAGGAGCGAGGTGGACAAGCCCCACAGCCCCCTGCCCTTTGGGCCGCCGTGGCGGAGACTCTTTTCGAGCCTCTTGGGAGCCTCCCGGTGCGCCGTGGAGGGGCTTGCATCTGCCGCCCGCAGCGCGCGTTTTCGTGGTGCCCCTCCTGGCGCTGGTCTGGAGGCCGATTGGGCCCTTCTCGGGGGCTCCGGGGTTTCTCTTGGGGCGTCAGGTGGGGGCCTCTTGGGCCGTCTTGGACGTTGTGGGCACCGCAAGTGTCATTCATAGTATACAGGACCATCAGGTTTGGGACGAGCTTGACCTCTTAGGTCGGCCCCCAGGGCTGACATCACAGCTGCACAGGCCCCCGACGCGGCTCCAGGATGGATCCCGCGGACCATCTCAGGGAATGTTGGAGTGACCCCCAGGAACCCAGTCCCCCTCGAGCCATGAGTGGAATACGACGGGAGGTTCTCTCTGGGGGCCCTGACCGGGCCTCGGGGCCGTCAAAGCACGACTCAGGACGAAACATTGGTCCCGCAGAGTGGGTCGAGACCTCTGAGGGTCGACGCTCTGAACAAATCATGACGTCGGGGGTCTGGGATCGCTTTCGAGGCCTCGGGAAAGGGCTCTCGCCGGATTCACAGATCTCGATGAGGATCTGGGCACAGACTCTGGTGCGGATATGGACAGGGATCCGATCTGGACACGGACAGGGATACAAGGACTCAGATCCAGATTTGGGTAGGCATACTCCATCATTCCTTGGCTCTGCCGGCACCGGGCCTGGAGTATGATTCGGATTTGGATGCGGTCGGGAGCTGCGGGATAATGTATCGCTCGGCCAGTTTTGGACCACCACGCTTCCGCGCGACAAGCTGTCCACTTCTCGGCCCCGAGGCGTCAACGTCCCGAGCCTTTCTGAGCCTCGCTACGCCGAGCGGAGCGACAAGCTGTCCGCTCGCGAATCATAGCGTGTCGCCGGGGCCGCCGCCGCGACACGTTATCCAAAAGTTCCCGACCGAAGGGATGTCGATCTCTTCGGTAGCAAATCATGGGAGCCTTATGCTCCTTCGTAACTCCGTCTTTCGAGGGCCTCAGCGTCGATTTGCGTCTGGTCATCGATGATCTGGCCTCGATTTGGCGTCGACCAGTGTCGACTGACGTCGACTAGCCGATTCGGCGTCGATGGCGTTGGCCAGCGTCGATTCGCAGAAGCCAGCAAGACTGTATTCAGCAAGCGAAGAACGGTATAAAATAAACTTTTTCGCTGTCGGGGGCGCCTGTCCCTGGGCGGCTGGAAAGTTTACACCCCTACGGTGCCACCGGAAGGGTACAAACTTTCCAGCCGCCCAGGGACAGGCGCCCCCGACAGCGAAAGAGTTTACTTTATGCCGTCCTTCGCCCGTTAATGTATGGGATGCTCTCACGAGTTGCCGCAGAGCCTCCCGCTGGGCTGGCACGTCCCGTGCGCATGGCGCTCCGTGCGCAGTGCCTGTGGGCTGGCGCCCGCCAGGCTGCACCCCGCGTCGACGTCGCACGAGCCAACCAGACCGCACGGGAAGCTCCAGCGGGGTCTGCCCCCGAAGGTCTCCCCACGGGCAGCCCGCTCGCGGGGACGGATTCGGATCGGGACCCCGATCCGGATGGAGGAGGCGGCGGCGGAGGAGCGAGGAGAAAGGAGGAGGAGGAGCGAGGAGGGAGGAGGAGGCGGAGGAGGAGGAGGGAGGAGGGAGGAGGGAGGAGGAGGAGGAGGAGGAGGAGGAAGAGGCAGGGGGAGGAAGAGGCAGGGGGAGGAGGAGGAGGAAGAGCTGGAGGATGAGGATAAGGATGAGGATGAGGATGATGAGGAGGAGGATAAGGACGAGGATGATGATACTGATGATGATGATGATGATGATGCTGATGGTGATGATGATGCTGATGGTGGTGATGATGCTGCGGATGATGCTTATGCTGATGACACTGATAAGTATGCTTAGATTGCTGATGAGGATAATGATTGTGATGATGATGATGATGATGATGATGATGATGATGATGATGATGATGATGATGATGATGATGATGATGATAATGCTGCTGATGCTGATGATCATGATGCTGATGCTGATGATGATGATGCTGCTGTTGTTGTTGCGGTTGCTGTTCATGATGATGCTGATGACGTTGATGCTGTTGCGGATGATTATGATGATGCTCATGCTGATGCTGACGACGATGATGATGATGCTGCGGATGATGATGCTAATGATGATGATGGTGGTGATGATGATGATGATTATAATGCTGGTGATGATACTGTTTGTGATGAGGATGCGGCTGCTGCTGATGATGATCATGATGCTGATGATGCTGATGCTGATGATGCTGCTGTTGTGATTGCTGCTGTTGTTATTACGGTTGCGGTTCATGATGATAATGACGTTCATGTTGCTGCGGATGATGATGATGATGATGATGATGATGATGATGATGATGATGATGATGATGATGATGATGATGATGATGATGATGATGATGATGATGATGTTGTTAAAGGTGCTGCTGATGCTGATGATGCTGCTGCTGCTGCTGATGCTGACGATGCTGATGCTGATGCTGATGCTGATGCTGATGCTGATGCTGATGCTGATGATGATGATGATGATGATGATGAGGAGGAGGAGGAGGAGGAGGAGGAGGAGGAGGAGGAGGACAAGGAGGAAGAGGCAGAGGAGGATCGGGGTCCCGATCCGGATAGAGGAGGAGGAGGACGAGGACGAGGAGGAAGGAAGGGAGGAAGAACAGGAAGGAAGGAAGGAAGGAAGGAAGACGAGGAAGGACGGGAGACGGAGGAGGAGGAGGAGAGGAGGAGGAGGAGAGGAGAGGAGGAGGAGGAGGAGGAGGAGGAGGAGGAGGAGAGGAGGAGGAGGAGGAGGGGGGACCGGAGGAAACTCCACGGTGCCAGCGCGCCTGCCTGCACGGTGGCGAACGCAGTCTGGGAGAGTGCGAGAGCCGTGCCCCCCCCCCCCCCCCAGCCTGGCCAGCGTGTCGAAGACACGTGCGGCCGGCGGCCACAGCCCGCGGGGTCTGGGTCGTCGATGAGGGGCCTCCCGGGGACCTCCTCCTCCTCCTCCCTCCGCCTCCTCCTCCTCCTCCTCCTCCTCCTCCTCCTCCTCCCTCCTCCTCCTCCTCCTCCTCCTCCTCCTCCCTCCTCCTCCTCCTCCTCCTCCTCCTCCTCCTCCTCCTCCCTCCCTCCTCCTCCTCCTCCTCCTCCTCCTCCTCCTCCTCCTCCTCCTCCTCCTCCCTTCGGGGATCGTGCGGCCTCTCCGGGGGGCCTCTTGGGGCCCTCCCAGGGGGGCCTCTTGGGTGCCCCTGGCGGCTTCTGGGGCCCCCCAGCCTGGCCGACCTGGCAAACACCTCGAGTCCGTGATGCGTGTTGCCTCCTCTGCGGCCGTCTTCCGTGTTCTTGGGGTCTTCGGGGGGACCAGGGCACGTCGAGGGAGTAGTAGGACAATGCCACGGGGATGTCACCACCCCACGACTCCCCCAAGACACCCCAAGATGTCTCCCGCGTGCCCCTTCCCTCCTCCGATGAGCTGGCAGACATCTTGTCTAGCACTCAATGCGCCAACGTGCGCCCTGGCGCGCTATTGAACACATCTGTGCGCTGGCACCCTTGGTTCACGCTGACAGTCCTGGCGTATCGTCCGCGCTGTTGCGTTCACGTTCGGCACCTTGGCGTGTCGTTCGGGCTGGCCAGTACGCTGGCGCCTTCACCAGTTGTGGTATGCAAGCCGCTGCGGTCGCCCCCCTCCCAGACGCGAGCGCCAGAAGACAGCTCGTTCGATTACCACCAGCCTAGAGACAGGGAGGAGCCAGGTCAGCATCGTTATGTCGTCCCCACGGTTGGCCGTGGCACCTCAGCGCCGCCAGCCTGCCCTCCAGGTGGGGAGAGGTCTTGCGAATCCCGAAGGAGACAGCACAGACCCAGATATGCGGCGCCTCGATTCACGGTCGAGCATATGGTGAAGAAACCTCCTCCCGAAGTGTTGGGCCAGTGCTTCTTGGCCAATTTGCGGGAAAGCCAGCCAAGCTTCTGGAGCTCATCCGCCCCTCGGTCCAGCGTCAGCGACAGAAGTTGGCCCTGGTTTCATTAAGAAACGCCCGGGAATTTGGCCCAGATTTCTCAAATCTTGGTCTTCAGCTCATGCTTCCGTCTGTTACCCAAGTTTTGGCCGCGCAATGGTGGCGCCACCAGGCCCCAAAGTATTTCAAGGCTGGCGCTGAGACAGCTGACCTCCTCTTCTCCGGCGGCGTCCGCAGACCGCGCCGCGCGTGCCGCTGAACACTGCAATTGGGGGGGCCACGGTGGGGGGCGGCAACACTTGCTTTGCAGTCGAGCATCTGATTGAGAAGCCTCGTCCCGAACAGCTGGGCCAGCGTTTCTGAACCGACTCGCGAGAAGGCTGGCCCCATTCCTGGGGCGCGTTCGCCCCTCCAGCGTTCACACGACCACCTGGCCCAGGCTTTGTGGGACCAGCTTCGGGGTGGATGTGGGACGAATCGCAGACCTAGAGGTTGACACCAACACCAAGATCGGCGGTGTGCCTCCACCGAGGGAAGATGATCCCGATCTCGGTGATGGTGGCAATATTCTGGTTTCCCAGGTGACCGACATATTACCATTAACACCGAAATCTAGGATCAGATTCACCATGTGGAGGTAACCCCCTGTGCTGGTGTTGGTGCCAATTTCCAGGCCTCCAAACGAACGTCTTGCGAAGGGATGTGGGACCAGCTTTTGACCGTCCCGCGGCCCCCGGAGAGGGCCCCTCGGAGGCCAGAAACTGCCAGACGCTTCCCGCCGTGCTGCTTCCGCGGCGAGCCGTAGGGGCCTGGTCTTCGGGGCACCGCTCGGGTCGCTGGCGACCCTTCGGGACGATCCGGACACCCCGGGAGGCGCCCTCCCTCGGCGAGGCGCAGTCGCCGGAGAGCATCCCGAGGCTGGATGGATTAGGTGTGCCTACCAGCTATGTAGCTCTCCTGGAGCTCGAGTTCAGTACAGAAAACCGACAGCACCTGCCAGATATCACTGAACAGCCGATCCCGCCCACATGCTTTTTGGCAGTAATATGTACCCGATCGACCTGAGATTAAGATGGCGAGCGGGAATAAGATCGAAGATGGGAAGACCTCCTCTTGAGGAATCTGCGAACACGTTCGAACACCTCGAAGGCCGCGAGGGCCTCGAAGGGGCACAGGGCTGGGGGGGCGGGCGGCGGCTCAGTTTTTCCCCTGACGGCGGCCTCCGCTCGGCCAGGCCCGCTGTCGGGCCCTCCTCCTTCGGCAGCAGCTCATGGGGGCCTTGCACATCCTCGTAATGCAGTTTTTAGAGTGCCCCAGCGTGGAGCAGCGTCTGGCAATCGATGGGACAGCGCCGATTTCCGCGCCGACTCGCGCCGGCCGGCGTCGGCTCCGGCGCCGCTTCGCGTCGACTGGCGCCGACCAGCGTCGACTAGCGCCGATCCCGCCAGAGCCATCAAGATGGTGCGGGAGGCTACCGTGAGCTGCCACAGAACTTTCTCCTGGCCTCCGCTCGGCCAGACGCCGCCCCCCGCGCCACCAGGAAGTGGGGGCCCGCGCGGGCGCCGCAGGGCGCTCCGTGCGCAGTTCTGTGGGCTGGCACCGGCCAGGCTGCAGGCGCTTCGAACGTTGGCCGCAAGGCAAAAAAAGACTGCGATGTCATCCTCGGGGAGCAGGCAGGGACATAAGCACTCTTGCTCCAGATCCTTCCATAAGCACCCCCCCCGTGCCAACCTGTCCGACGCCCCCTGCCCGCCCCCCGACGCGCCCCAAACCCACTCCCTCCCGCTCCCCAGTCCCCACGCCCCCCGAAGGACAGCGGTCTCCTACCCCCCCACGCGATCCACCCCCCCCCGCGCTTTTTGAGAGACCTGGAGTAAGCCTTCGGAGATCCGCGCGGATCCCTTGCATCGGCGCTGGCCCCCCCCCCCCCCCCCCCAGCGACGCCTCCGGCGCCGCCCCTCGCGCGCGGGGCGAGGGGTCCAGCGCCGACCCAAGAAACCCGCGCGGGCCTGCGGCAGTCGATGTTCGTGCCATCTTTGCAGGGGCGCCCTCGAGGGCGCGAAGTTATTCGCGCCTCGCGCTTCGCGGTTCGGCTCCGATTCCTCCTCGTCATCCTCGTCTCCCCTGGGAGGCGGCGCGAGAGCGCGAAGTTGTTCGCACTTCGCGCTTCGCGCAGCGCGAAGCGCGAAGCTGGGAGCCCTCGTTTTGAGTTCCTCTGGATCGTCAGGACATGCGTTGGGCCTGCATGCGTTTGTCCCGCTCAGTGCCACCAGCAGCGCGCATCTCGTGCCGGCCCTCGCTGCATCGCCTGCGCCGCGTTAAGTCGGGCCTGACCCTCTACAGGAGGAGTACTCAAAAATAGAAAAAAGATAGTATGGGGATCATTTGTGGATTATGATTTGACTATGTTGGGGCATATTAGGGTGAGTATCTTCAGTTTTTCGCCCTAAGTCTGCCTGTAGGGGGACACGCCCGACCCAAGCATCGCGTTGAAAAAGCGCTTCGGCGGACGGGCACGCGTTGGCGAAAGGCACGCGTTCGAAGCCTCCTCGAACGCAGGGCTCTGGCCGGACGCCCTGGCGAGTCCTCGCCCTCCCCCGCGCTCCCCTCCGCCTTCTGCCTTGGCCTCCGGCCGCTCCCCCGCCCTCGCCCTCCTCCTCTCTCCCCTCCCTCCGTGTTCCTCCCCCGCTCCTTCCCTTCTCCTCTTCCTCTGGGCACTCCTCGCTCGAGCATCTGGTCCCGCTGTGCCCGAAGCTCTCGCTCACGAGTCGCAGTCTCCTCGTGGGGGAAAGCGCGGGGGCAGTGATGTGCCTGGCGTGGGAGGGGCATCCCCTCTGGTCACGGCAGGCTCGTGCTGTGTCGACGCGGAGGCGACCTGGCGTCAGCTTTCAGGGTTGAACGCCGGTGGCGTCCCAGCATCGGCCGACGTGGAACGACCCGCGCTATCGCAACGCCGTGAACCTTCGGGGTTGAACGATCCGCGCGGTGCCAGAAGCCAGCGCGCGGATCGCTACGGCACGAGTCGGCCGCGAAGCTCCTTCCGTGCCAGTCCTCGTCGCCGCCAGCGCCCACGCAACCGCCGAAGGCATCGACGAACTCGCGAGCCGACGTTTCGGCTGACACGCAAAGCGCGGAGCCAAAAACCTACAACGAAAGCAAAGGAGCCAACAAATCACCAAGCGCGGAGCACCGACCCTCAACTCTGCGCCCCGCCTTCCTCGCCCCTGCAGGGGGCGGCGATCAAATATGCACCTCTCTGGTGGCCCATGTGATCGGCTCGGAGTCTTGTTGGAGGTATGGCCAGCTACGCCGAAGGCCATCGATCACCGAACGAAAACACAGCGGGTGTTCCTGGGGAGTGATCTGAGAGTGCGGTGCGAGCACGAGATGTATCAGCAGCTCTGCGCAAAGTTCGCCCAACAGTGCTTGCATTCAACTCAGGGCTCTTACTTTTGCTCTGAGCAACTGGGACTGTCTGCCGCTCTGGCGGCTATGCTGTCGCCGTCGCCGCCTGGCTATGTTTTTCGCCGTCGCCGCCCCGTTACCGCCTCGTCGCCGCCCGTCGGCTGGGCCTGTTTGCCGCTCTGGGGGCTATGTTAGCGCCGTCGCCGCCCGGTCAACGCGTCGTCGCCGCCCGTCGTCTGGGCTTGTCTGCCGCTCTAGCGGCCATGTTGTCGCCGTCGCCGCCCCGTTGCCGCCGCATAGGTTGCTCCACATAGATTGATCAACATACATTCTCCTCTCTTAAAAAGAATCCGGATTTCCCCCCAGGGTTAACGGGTCACCTTTTTTTCCGTATCGTTCTTCGAATGTGATTCTGTACATTTGTCCATCCTAAATAGGGAGTCGTACCATCCCAGGCAGTCTGGTTGAGCACCCCCCTTCCTCCTGTCAACACGATTCTTCCCCCAAGCAATAAACGAAGTGCAGACGCGCGCGTCGTCGCACGCGCATGCTGAACTCTTCAAAAACCGTAGGTTTCGTAGGGATGTCAAAATCGAGTGTCCCGAAAAAACATATAACCATAATGGTTTCGCAGCAAACATGGTCAACAAAAACCTGTGTTCGCGCTCGTGCGAATTCCTGAGACTGCCACCAGTTGTTCAACATGTTCGTCGTATGCAACTGCAGCCGAACGTACCTTTCGCGCGCGCATGTCGAAATCATTTAACCCCTTGCGCGCGTGCTGTTGCAATAATTCCTTTCAGGCGTTGGGAAGAGTTGCGCACGCGCGCGTCGCCGCGCTCGCATGCCGAAATCTTCCGAAAACGGTAGGCATCGTATGGATTTCAAAATCGAGTGTCCCGAAAACATGTAACAACCCAGCGGTTTCGCAGCAGGAATTTCCAAAACAGCTTGCGTTCGCGCTCGTGCGAATTCCCATGCTAACCATCCATCGGTGTCTTACTTTTCTTTCGGCTGCGACCAAATCTGCCTCTCGTGCGCGCATGCCGAACTCGTTCGAGCGCCCTTGCGCGCGTGCTGTCGCAAGAGGCCCTTGCAACACATGGGGCGAAGTGCACGCGCGCGTCGTCGTTCGCGCATTCCGAAATCCTATAGCAGCACAAGCATTATATTTACCACGAATTTCGAAATCGAATGTCCCGAAGTGTATATGTATGTATTTATGTATGTTGTGTGTGTGTGTGTGTTTATATATCGATAGAAAGAAAACAATGGCTTCGCAGCAGGAAGAGCAGGACAACTTGCGCACGCGCGCTTGCGCAGTCGTGAGAAAACCAACGTTTTTTTTCGGCACCTTCACCACATGCTGCCAAACATGCATCGCACGGGCATTCCGAACTCATTCGAACGCATTTGCGCGTGTGCTGGGGGGCACGACCCTTTTCAAATTGTATTATGCGGGCCGCTCACGCGCGTTGGCCGAACGCGCATGTCGGAATCTTCCAGAAAGCCTTCATCGCCAACGCGGGGGCGCCATCATCGTCATCGGCGCGGTCGGCATCGGCGCCGCCATTGGCCTTGCCGTCGTCATCGTCACCTTGACCACCAGCATCGTGTGTCATCAGGTGGTCTGCTGTTGTCCACCTCGCCATGATACCGACCCTGCCCGAGTCGCCGATGCGCGTTGGAGTGCTCGCGCGTCAGCGCGGTCTGCGAGACGCGCGGGGGCGTTCCCAGCGGCCTGCGCCACCGCGGCCGCGTCGGTCGCGCCGGACTAGTTGTGCGCTGGGCGCGCGAGCCTGCGCGCGCTAGCGCGACCGCAGCGACGCGACGGCCCGCGCCAAGCAGCCATCGCAATCGTTGCCGCGTGGGTCTTGCATGCCGAGTTTCGGGCGGGCGGGCGGGCCCGACGATTGCGCGGGCAGTGGGGTGGGCAATTCGCCGCGAACGAGGCCTGATTCCCCATTCTGTTCGGAACTACTCGCCCCCCGTCTGAGCGGCCCGCTTTTTATATTGCCACTTGCATGTGGTCTTGCCCCGTCGTGCATCCAACATATGAGTTTTTAGTTCCCCATGCAGTCCCTTATCAACCCCTCTCCCCTTTCTCCCCCTGCTGGACATCTATCATGCGCGCGTCTTGATTTTATCCGAAGTCATCAATTTTAGAGAGCTCATTGCGCGCAAGAGGACGAAGTGCGCGCGCGCGTGTCGTCGCGCGCGCCGAAATCTTGCAAGCGCCGCGGGCCCCGCGTTGGTTTGTAAAGCCGAGTGCCCCGAAGACATGAATGCAGCCCGTGGTTGCGCAGCAGGCATTTTCACAGCGCAGTTTTATGCGCAGCGTGAAAATCTGTTCTCAGCATGTCCGTCAAATTTGTCCAAGCGCGCCTCTCGCGCGCCCATGTCGAGCTCGTTCGAGCGGCCCTGTGCGCGCGTTGTCGCGATGCCCCCTTGCAACAGATGCGGCGAAGTGCACGCGCGCGCTGGCCGCGCGCGTTTGCCGGACTCATTCGAATGCCGTAGGTGCCACAAGGATCTCAACGTCGCGTGTCTGGACAACATGTGAACGTCGTTTTGCAACGTCATTTTTCAGATCAGCCCTCGCGCGCGCTCTTGCGAATTAGCGCGGCAACCATCGGCATTTCAACATGTTCATAAAGTTCGACCAAGCGGGCCTCCTCGCGCCGCTTGTCGGAAGGATTCGAAGGGCGTTGCGCGCGCGCTGGGGTGGCGGGGTGGGGGGCGCGGTCCCCGTCTAAAATTGCGCGGGTCACTCGCGCGCGCATGTCGAACTCCCCCCGGAACCTTCATCGCCGACGCGAGGGCGCCATCGTCGTCATCGGCGTCGGCCGCGTCGGCGCCATCGTCGCCGTCTTCGCTACTGCCATCGTCGCGTCCACCGTCGTCGACGTCGCCATGCTGCCGCGCCCGCCCAAGTCACCGGATCGCACTGATGTGCCCGCTGGGAATTGCCCGGCGGCCAGCGCCACCGTGGCCGCGTCGGTCGCGGCAAACTAGCTTCCCGCTGCGCGCGCGAGCACGTGCGGGCCGCCGCGGCCGCAGATATGCACCAGTCAACGCCGAGCACTCATCGCGATCGCCGCCGCGTGGGTTTTGCCTGCCAGTCTGCGGATGGGTGAGTGGGGCTTTGCGCGAGCCGTGGAGGTGACCGCCCCGAGTTTTTCGAACTTCGTTGCGCCGCGTAGATTGCGCCGCGCGCGCTGCAGCGCGAAGTCCCCCC